TATTATTATTATTATTATTATTATTATTATTATTATTATTATTATTATTATTATTATAAATTTTTATTATTATTATTATTATTATTATTATTATTATTATTATTATTATTATTATTATTATTATTATTATTATTATTATTATTATTATTATTATTATTATTATTATTATTATTATTATTATTATTATTAATATTATTATTATTATTATTATTATTATTATTATTATTATTATTATTATTATTATTATTATTATTATTATTAGTTTTTATTATCTATTATCTATTATTTTATTTATTTCTATTTATTTATTTATTTTTTTTTTTAAAGGACCGCGGAGACCCTTTTGGGTATATTTACATTATTGTCTTTTGCCGGGTTCAGTTCCTTTATTATGTTTTATTTGAGGTATATCCAAAAAATGTAAAATTAAATACTTTGCATTTACTAAGTCCCGTATACTGTAGACATACTATTAAACCCCAATTGTTTAATACACAATTTTTGATTTTTATAAATTTAAAATGTGCAAACCCAAATTCATTTCTATCGAAATTTAGTCGAATTGAATGCAAGCATTTGGTCCCTGATCTTTACCTTTTTTTTGGAAATCAACTACAAACTTGTCCTTGTAGTATGGCCACATGTTTTCCTTTTATTGGCACACTCTAATATTCATAATCAGAAAAAAATATTAAAAAAAAAAAAAAAATAATAAAATTGCAACAAAAAATACAAACAAACATCTTATTCGGTATTCCTAATGTCAAATGACATTGAAATACTAACTCAACTCCATCGTTCCAAGAGGATGATCAAGCGAATCCGGAATCGTACACGGACAATGTCGTTGACCACCAACTGGTCTATTAAATCATAATGAGCACCAGCCAGCAATGGCAAGTAAACAAGAAAAAACAACAACACCTCTAGAAGGACGGAGCTCCATGGAAATATATAAAAATGGGAGAGGCAACAAAAAATGAGTAATTAACTCATTCTCTTTACTTGAATTGTCCCATAAATGTTATTATAATGTAATGGGAAAGAAACACACATACATATATGTCACACACACACACATGTCATACAGAAATAAAACACTGACGGACAGCTAACACGAATACTCGTACATCCACCATAACATGGGGCAAGGACAATAAAAAGAGAACTTACCACAACATAAGCAACAGCTAACACCGGAGAAAAGCGAAAAAGAAAAGGAAGAAGAAACCCGGAATGAAATTTTCTGAATGTAAGAATGCAATAATAATAAAATAGAAATAAAACAGACATTTATGAATAAAATAACAACACATTTATCCGACAAAGATACTCTGCCCGGAAAATCGCACACGTATGGTGTGGTTGTGCGAGTGTGTGCATGCCGTCGGTACAAAAGTCATTCCCTTACACCTTGATGGGATGTTTTATTCCCCTTCATTTGATACTAACACACACACATTTTGATGCATGGTATGTTAAATTTCACACACACATACATAAACAATTTCACATGTATTAAAGGACATTTTCACAAAATATAAGTAAAGGAAAAAAACAAAATGACAGTATGAAAATGTCACAAGAGACAAGACATAAATGTTCCATTTGCATTTTCGGGCTCTTACTTTTTTTACAGCGTTTACTCTCGGTGTAATAAAACGGTAAGAACAACAGCAACAGCAGCAGCATCAACACTCAGCAATTTGAAAAGAAAGAGAAAAATAAATTAATAAAAATTACAAACAGATTCTTTTGTCATCCTTTTTTGTTTCACTGCCCTCATCAGTTCAGTTCGCTTGCAGTCCCACCCCGTAGCAGTCGAAGTTTATCACTTTAAGATGGTCGTAATTCATACACACAGGTAATTTGGCACACTGACATTGAATGCAAATTTGTTAGGTGTAAAATAATTTACTAAAGTGGGAAAGTTGGTAAAAGATTGTTAGAAATAAAATTGATCAATTTCCAAAGGGACGAGACATAATTGCAATAGATCAAATTAGCAAATATCACTCAGTTGGCAGATATATATATACCTTCAGCATATCATATACTTACTCAAATGAGACGTACCCCCTACCATAGTATGGAGCGTATATTAAGTTTGTCATTTCGTTTGTAACACCTCGAAATATAAATTATAGACCCCACAAAATATATATTCTTGATAAGCATACCGATTTCCGTCCGTTTGTGGAAATCACTGTTGCTTCCGAAAGATATAAAGTAGGTTGATGTAATTATACTCAGGTATGTGTTAGATCTACAGGACTTTTGATATTGAAAATGGGCTATATAGGTTCCTATATTCGGTATTTTGATTATCTTAGTGATAAGTTTCAAATTTCATATTTGAATATCATAATTGCCTATAACAAAAATTGCATATACTCGCCTTTGTATAGGCCCCAATATAGTGGTTACTCCCCATATTCGATATTTTTATGATTTAACTATATTTTTTCAAAGGATTTTTTTTTTTTTCAAAATGTCTTCCAAATTGTGTAAGGTATTTAAATTTAGGCCTAGCCGAACTTACTGCTTTTTCAATTGAATTGCAATTGAGTTGGAAACTTCAATTTTTCCTGCGGATCATATTTTATCCTTCTAGCAAGGTTTCATGTTGATATGTGTAAAACTCAATTACCTATGGCTTATTTACTTAGAGTTTGAAAGAAATCAAAAACCGTATATAAAGAGAGATTATGAACCATCAAGGTTTATGATACAGGTGGTTGAGATGTTGATGTCCAGATCTTCGGAGACGGGTCATGGACTCGTGTTAAAATTTTTCTGGAATGGCTCACTCTAAACATGTTCGGGAGAAGACATCCAGATTGTCTTAGGTTGTTCGGGTCCTCCAGCTCACGGTAGGTATTTTCGGGAGCACCTATCTAGGCCTTCTAAGATGGATCGAGATTGCTCTGCGGTATTTTGGCCCATTCCCGGCGAAGCGCTTGCTTGAGGTGATCGACACTTTGCCAACCTTGCTTTCCAAAATACTCCACACCCAATAGTCCAACGGATTGGTATCCGAAGATTTTGGTGGCCATTGTGCGCTGGAAATGAAGTGAGAAACCTCATTTTGTAAACATTCTTTGGTGGCGTGTGCTGAGTGCAATGGTGCTGAGCCCAGTTGGAATGTTCAAGGTCTGCAGCCAAAATGTTTACGTGACCAAGGCTTGAATACACCCTCCAGATTATTTTCGCAATGATATTCGGCATTTATTCTGATGCCCACACCATCACCATGCCCGGCTCTTGAATTCTGGTGGCCAACCGAAGGTGCTGACCTCTTTGGCAAGTAAACACGATCAGTTTTTTTGTTTACAAACTGCTGGACAACGAATGTTTTCTCATCGGAGAAACCCAAATTCGACAGTTCATCACTTTCGGCCAAGCGGGGCAACTCTTTCGAGTCTATTTTCTTTCTGTTGCGGCGTAAGTTCTTGCACTTTTTGGAATTTCAATGGCTTTACCCCGAGCTCATTTTTCAACATTTGCCGAATGGTATATCGCGATATGTTCAGCTCACGAACCATTTTTCGGCCACTGCGACGCAGGTTTCGATCAAGTATCTTCTTTACTTTTCGAACCATTTCTGCTGATGTTGCTGTTTCTTTCTGTCCACTTCCTTGACGTCGGGCTACCGTACCAGTCACGGTAACGAACGATGATACGAGACACCAAAGATTTATTCAAATTCAAATGCTGAAGTGTTCTAACGAAGGCCGCTTTCGGTTTTTAGCCAAATATAAAGAAATCACACCATCAAACTTAAATTCCATCACGAATAACTTTTTTTCTCGAAAATTCTCACCAAAATGCTTTTGTACGCTTGTGAACAATATAAAGGGCTGTCGCTGGCATAATTTTAACAGCCGTCGGACGAGTGGCTTAGAAATGACAGCAGTCTGAAGTTGGTTGCAGTATTTTCATCTCACCCTGTACTAGGACACATACTGTCAGTTTACAGAAAAGTTCCTCCATCTACAAAATAAGTGAGGTGCTAATTCAAATGTGGGTCCAGAAAATATATGATAGGTATAATTCTAGTGATACGGACTATATTTTTGAACAGAATATAATGTAATCTGATCATTTCTGAGCTTTAACGGAGAGCTTTTGCACAATTTAAAGTCCTTAGTAGAAATCTTTGGTATAATTAAGTTTTTCGTTATCCTAAACTTTCAGCTCGGCTGATTTAATTTTACCTGGGACCGATATTTCTATTTTTTTAAGAGTTTTCGTTCTACGGAAATGTCAAATTTCAGGCACTTCTATTTGCGAAAACGTCAGCTTCAAACATAAAACGACCCAAACAAATGACAGACATTTTGTCTGTCACAAAGTTTGTCATGCCGTCTGTCATTTGCCTGGCGAAGGTGTCCTAAGTTGGCCTCCCACAAATCTACAGGCTAGCTAGCTTGCCTAGCGACTACTCATGTGTATGTAGACAAACACCCACACACATATGACAATGTATTATAAATGTTTACACGTGAGTAAGTAGATGTGTGGGTTGCTGTGTGTGTGTGTGTGAGTTCATTCAACGTTCATTAAAACCCTGTGTACTTTGCGAAACAATGACAACGAAAACGTTATACGGAAATTCGCAAACATTTAGGAGAATAAAAGAATATTACGTTAAGGTGCCTAGAAAAGGTGGAGCTGTCATAACAGGAAAAAATATCAGCAATGACAACAATAACGGCAACGGCGGCGACGGCAGCAGCAGCGACAATGGCTACGTTGGTGATAGCAATAACATGCCATAAAACATTGTCAGAACAGAAACAAGTAAAAAAAGGTGTTAAGTTGGGTCTAGACGAACTGAAGACACCCTTCCCTTTCACGATGGGAAAAAAGAAAAGCCAAATTATGATCAATACTTAATCGATGGAGAATTTCGCACATATCTTGAATTAATGTATTATGAAATGACAACTGATGGAAGAGGCTAATAGGCTCAACAATATTACACTGAGGGAAAAATCCCGTTGCGAAATCAAGCACGTATGTTGTCATTTTCGCAACGACCCGTTGTTATATTTTTCAACAACGGCTGTTGGTGAATTGTGCACGAACGTGCTCAAATTGACACCGAGACGTGGTCAACTTTCGGTACCAACAACAGCCGTGCTTAATTTGTCCATTTGTAATATTGGTAATTGCAGCCGATTACACACGAGTAAAAAATGACAACGGTGGTGCATGATTCACACACGGTCGTTGTCAATATGACACCGGTCGTGTATGAATTATGCACCACCACCTGCATAATGATGCACCACCGTTGTTACTTTGTACACCGACGTGCATGAATCGTACACGATCGTTGCCATTTTAGCAACTACCGTGTATGAATCATGCACCACCGTTGTCATTTTTTTTACTCGTGTGCAATCGGCTGCATATTTACCATTTTTTCCGTGTTATTGAAAGAGAAAGGACGCATTGTGCAAAAAATTTATTGAAAATGAATAATAATTCGCAAGATCCTCAAAATATCATTGGTGAGTTGTTAGAAATCGATGGCAATATTGTTGTGGTTCGCGATACAAACCATTGCAGCAGTCAAGATGCGGAAAACAATGAGGACGATTATATGTTAAGGGAGTTCTTAAAAGGAATAAATATGGAGTCGCTTTTTGAACAATTAAAAGGTAAGTAAATAAAAATGAATTTTTCAGTTAATCAGTGTAATTAACAAAGAATTTTCTTTTTTGTTCTTTTAGCATCACATGTAACATTTCGCAGCTTGCAGTACTTGAAAAAAGAAGATTTAAAGGAAGCAGTGCCACCATTGGGACTGCGTGTTGAATTCAGAGAAAAGCTCTTTGCTTGGAAAAAACGAAAGGTACGTATTATTTGTTTTACAGAGTTGAACTCAGTATTAATATTGTCATAACAATAGCTCGGGATTGATGACGAAACTATGTCAGTTCCATCTAAAATAGGTGAATGGTGGAAACGCAACGAGACACCTGCAAGTACTCCTGGTACTCCCGACACTACAGGTTCGAACTGCTCAAAAGCCAAAGGAATTTTGTCAGAGGTAAGGTAAGAGTAATATTTGTGTAAGCATAGTTAATGTAGTTTTTTTATTTAATATAGGATCTAACGGAATTGTTAACACATACCTCGAAGGGGAAACTAGCGCTTGAATGTAGTAGCGTTAATAAGAAATTAAGTGACGAGCAAAGAGATGATATAATTAATATAATTATTGAAGATATTTTAACCAACAATGTTACTCTTTACACTCAAGACTATATGCGCATATTGGATGAAATTTGTTCCGTTTTTCCTCTTGAAAACGAAATGAGGGTAAGATTAACAATATAAACAACGTATCTGATTATGTAGTTTCTTAACTTATAATATGTCTTTATTTTTAGGATTATTATTACATTTCAAGAAAAGGAAAGAACAACGCAAGCGGAAAACTTTATGCCAAGTATAGAAACAAGAAGTCCAAAAGAATAAAGCTTTTGATTTCCGAGCCTAGCACAAGCAAAGCAGCAACTCACACATCTCCTAATTTTTGTAACAAAGATGTTCCCGAAATTGATGAATCAGTTGAAAATTCATTGAAAGCTTCCTTACTAAGAGAATGTAATGATTGGGGATCGATCTGCGAAAAATGGAAAAGATCTTTTAACATACGGCAAAGAGATATAAAAAATTTAAGTAGCCATACATTTCTCCTTGAATGGACGAAGTTGTCCGATGCAAGAGCTTCAGAATTGGTAAGTAGCCATGAGCTATTTATTTGTATATGGATACTAATGTTTCGTTTTAGGTCAACATTGATTTCGATATTATGTATCCACAGAAAGGCAATCTTCTACTTTCTAAATGGGACCAATTTAAGAAAAAAATTTACAATTATTATGGGAAAAATATTCATAACGAACATTGCAAACAACTCTTCGCAAATGTTTTGACGGCAAGCAGCATAGGTAAATTTTAATTCCTGATTTATCATAAACATTAAAAGTAATATTTATTTTATATTTCGGTTGCAGATGCTCAAGATTATATATACGCAATACTGTTGAATTCAGTTTTACCATCACCTGCTAGGTTTAAATGTGGAAACGGTAAATTACGAAAAAAAGTAACAATAGCTGATTCGCAGGAAAGTTTCGTACTGCGACTACCGACAATTAACGATTATAAAAGGCAAATTGATACAGTCACTGAAAAGTATTACAATGCTGGATTAACTATACAGCCATTTATAATTGTGGAGGGTTTGTCCGATTTCAATATAAAAGGTTTTTATGTTTTTTTTAACCACAATTTGTTAAAATTTCAATCGTTCCTCGAATGTTTAGATACATGTTTTAAAATTTTTCATGCACTTTCTTTAAAATATCCAAATGCCTGCCAAATTCCATGGATTTTTATCCAAAAATATTTTTATGAAATTAATACTGTATATGATATAAAATCAGTTAATTTGACTTCACTTATTAATTTCTGCAACAATAATTAAAGTACAATTCAAAATGTATATTTGCTTTCGTTGCCGTAAGCATTTTGATAAGGCAAATCTTTTAATAGCTCATTTGAAAACAGACCATTTAATGTCCACTAAATTTTTAAAAGTACAATGCGTTCAGGACAACTGTAAGCAAACATTTACAAAATTTACGTCATTCAGAATTCATTTAGAAAAACTTCACAAGAATCACACAAAAGCTCCACCAATGGTTAAAGCCATTAATGTGCCAGTTGAAATGTCATCATCAAAAGAAAATGATTATACAAACAGTGAAACTGTTATTAACAACAATACAATAGAAAAGGATTTAAATGTTTTGAAAAAGAAAACCTTATATCTGTCTTTACAATTACATGGTCAAAGCTATATGCCTAGAAATCATGTTATAGAAATACAACATTCTGTTTCAATTCTGCTTTCATCCATTTCATGTACAATTGAAAAATATATAACTGATCATCCAAATTATGAAGACTTAAGGTACTTACTAAACTTTTGTAAAAATCCTTTCGAAGAAACTAGAACGGAATATAGACTTTTAAAAATTTTAAAAGAACTAAACTTTTATGATGATCCAAAGGTTTATGTAATTAGCAATCAAGTCTCGGAAATTGTTATCAGCGGAAATCCCAGTTTAGGTCCAAAGTTATCCAATATTTATATAATGCCACTGAAATTCATGATAAGTGCCCTTTTTAAAATTCCAAATCTCTTAGATTTGACATTAGAAAACTCCAAAAAATTCCTAAATTCACCTGTTTTACAAAATTTTACAAACGGTGAGTTATATAAAACTAAATTATTAAAATATCAGTACAATTTAGTTATTCCCTATGTCCTTTACATGGATGATTTTCAAATTAATAATCCTCTTGGAACCCATACATTTTCCATATGTGGTTGTTATATTAGCTTTCCTTCAATGCCACAGCACTTGTTGTCAAAACTTGATTATATATTAACTGCTGCGTTTATACCATCAAAGGATTTAAAAGAACGTGGAAATGAAGTTTCATTTCACAATCTTGTAGAAGAGTTAAAAATTCTAGAAGAAGGGGTTGAAATTTGTGTTCAACAAAGTGTTCAGAAGGTGCATTTTATTTTAGGTGTAATTATTGGAGATAATTTAGCAGTTAATAGTATTTTAGGCTACGTGCAATCATTTAACTCTAAAAGATTTTGCCGGGTATGTAGAAGAAAAAAGTCCCAAATGCAATTCGACGCAATTCAGCATTTAGATAGTTTAAGAAACCAAGAGAATTACAACTCAAATGTATTGGAAAATAATTTTCAAGAAACAGGTATTAAAAACAAGTGTATCTTCGAATCTTTACCAAATTTTAACGTCACTGAAAATTTTTGTTTTGATATTATGCATGACATTTTCGAGGGCATATGTGTCTACGATATGTCTAATGTAATTCTCGGGCTGATTCAAGAAAATATTGTTACGTTAGATTGTATTAACAGCAGAAAATCTTTATTCCAATTTGGAGAAATTGAAGTGGGAAATAAATCTGGACCACTAGATTTATGTAGATTGAAAAACTATAACTTAAAAATGACAGCTAGTGAAACTATGTGTTTTACTAATTTTTTACCTTTAATGGTAGGCGATTTAATTCCTTTCTCCAACGATCACTGGAAAGTTTTTATAATATTATTACAAATAATCGATTTACTTTTAAGACCAAGTTATATAGAAGACGATTTAATAAAATTGGAAGAATTAATTAGAGATCACCATTCACTTTATATAACATTATACGGTTCGTTAAAACCGAAACACCACTTTCTTGTCCACTATCCCACAGCTATCCGAAAATGTGGTCCCCTTAAATATCTCTGGAGCATGAGATTCGAAGCTAAACACAAGGAAGCAAAAGCCTATTTAGGAAATACTACATCAAGAGTAAATCCCTGTCGTTCATTATCTATTAAGTCTGGATTGAAATTTTCCAATTTTTTATTAAAACACGAAGATAACTTAGAACCAAATGTTATCATTAATACGCATACCATCGAAGATTTGGCAAAAGAGGAATATTGTTACAAAAAAAGTAAGCCAGTTTTAAATTACCAAAATTGCAAAGTGTCTGATGACATTTTTTTTAAGGGAACTAGGTATAAAAAAAAACTATTATTTAGCAACAAATAATGCCGCAATTGAACTTTTCAAAATTAAACATTTAATAATTGAAAATGAAAATGTTTACATTTTATGTAACCAAGTAAAAGTTAAAAACTTTGATTACCATTTACAATCGTATGAAGTTGGTTCTCTGAATGAGGATACAATTTTTTTAATACCAATTTTAGATTTTATTACTTACCCATTTCACTTATATCCTATGAATAATGGAAAAGTTTATTTCAGATTTAAGTTAATTTAATTTGTTTCTATACATTGAATATATGTAATTCGAATTGTTTTGTTAAATCAAATATGTATTTATATTGAATTTATGTAATTGGTTTCGTTCAATAAAATACTTTTCAAAAAATGTCGTTTCTTCTACTAAGGGTATAAAATGGAAAAGGAACGGATATCAAAAAATGACCACCATTGATTTCAATCTGACAACGGGCGTTGACAATCCGACAACGGAGCGTTGACAATCTGACAACGAAGCGTTGACGATCTGACAACGAAGCGTTGACAATCTGACAACGGGGCGTGCTCGAAATGACCACGTATGTGCTCATTTCATGCACATCTGTTGTTGAAATCGTTGCCAAAATCTCGGTGTCAAAATGACAACAGCGTGCTCATTTTGACACCAAACGTGGTTGATACACTATCATACACGGATGTGGTCATTTCATACACGGATGTTGTCATTTTTTCTCTGGGTGTACATTTTCATTATTATTGTTTATATCCTCCACTATAGTATAGCGGATATTCTCTTCATGTAAAAAGCATCCTAGCATAGAACTGTCAATGTAGGTCTAAGTTTTGGTATAGTCCCTATATATATATATATATTCCTCCCTGTATTGGGTATTTAATGATTTGTGTCACACATTTTACCGGAGATGTTTCAAATTTGGAATTTGAAGTTTCTAACGGAGACTACATAGTATGACAGAAAATTGCTGAAACGGTACCTCTCTGTATTCGGTATTTTTATGATTTTGCCGACATTATCCAACGGAATTGTTTTATATTTCGTATTGTAAATTCGCAATGGGTGCTATAGCCTCTGATTAAAAATTGTCTATGAAGGTCCACGTCTATATATAAGCGGTGCTTTCTTATGACCGGTATTAGGATGACTTTAGGGGCGTTATTCACTGGAAATATTTCAAATTTCGTATTTAAATATCTTAATGGCTTAGATAAATATTGCATATTCAGGTCCACACCTTCCTATAGCCCCCAATATAACGGTAATCCCATATATTCGGTATTTGTGTGTTTTTATACCCTCAACCATTTGGCTAGAGGGGGTTTAGACCCTAGGTCTCTCTGAATTCGATATAGCCATGTCCATCCGTCCGTCCGTCTGTCCGTTTGGCTGGTACGCACGATAACTCTCGAAGGGAGTATCTAATTTGATCCAAACTTGGTACATCGTAACATTATTGTCAAACGTAGATCGAGTTCGCAGATGGGCAATATCGGTCTACTCCTTCTAGTACCTCCCCCACAAAATGTCGAAATTTAAAAAAAAAAATTACTGCGCAGCGAGAAAAAGGAAAGAAAAGAGAAAGACGTGTCTTTGGAGCATTTAGGACTCTCTTTGGAGTCAATTTTGCGGTATCTGTCCGACTTTCTGTCTGACTGGTGTACACAATAACTCTCGAAGGGAGTATCCGGTTTTCTCCAATCTTGATACATCGCAATATTATTATCAAATTTAGATCGCGTTCGGAGAGGAGCAATTTATCGAAATTTATGATTTCGCATAAAATTGAATATAAATGTTTGATTTCCTTCAAATTTTGCACATACCAATATATTTGTCTGTATAAAATGAAGTATGAAAATGGAATACTTCGGTCCGCTATACCTGTTACCTAGCGCATATTTCTGAATTTTCCAAAAAATTTCACATATTTCATATAAAGTATAGGAAGTAGTCGATATAGTCGAAATCTGGCACGTTGTAATATTTTTATTAGTCTTAGGTCAGATACGAATTGGCCACTATTGGCCAACTGCTTCGGAACGTCCCCGATTAATCATAACTCAAGGCTTGGGGTATAAATCTGCGGCAAGGCCGGCTGATACTTTTTTGATTGTTTCATTAGTATTAGACGAAGTGGTATACATCGGTCCACTATATCTGGAACCTAATCCCCTTTCAACATTTTCCAAAAATATCACATATCTCATAAGGACTGAATTATGTAGACGATATACGCCAAATCTGACACGTAGTAATGGGCAATATTGATCCACTCCTTGGGAACGGGCATTGGGTGAGGGTATGCATTTGTCGGCAAACCCGACCTTTACTTTTTAAATAGTTTTTTTGTTTGTTTCATTTATCTCAGGTTCAGAAACGTTACAAATGAAATAATAAACTCAAGATAACCCAACTTCCATAGTAGCGACCATAGAAATATTTACGCTAAATATCTCAACAAGGATGTCCATATCAATTCGAAAAAGAGTAGATTTCATTGAAACCAACAGATGAAACTCACATTTTCAACACAATTCTGTACCTTCCAACCAGGCAGCCAGCCAGCCAGCCACATAGTGTCACACATCATAATCGTTAACAATGGTCCAAATGTAGCAAAACTTGAAGCAAAGACATTTTGCTGGACAATTTACGAAATGGTGTGACAGCAATCTGCTAGTTTGTCTCTTCCAAAATGTTGACCACAAGTTGAGTGTATTGTCGTTTTAGGTTGGACGACAACCCCAACATTTGGTAAACCAATGAAACAACCAGACTTCATACACACACACACACACACCTTAACAGAGACTTTGTTAAACAAAAGTGTTTAATTATCCTTGGATATATTTTTCCAGGAATTGTTGATTAAAGACACAAACACCATAAATTAGTCTGAATGGAAGTGGAGGCTAAGTATTTTTATAGTATAATCATTATTTGTGTGTTTGTACATAATATGACATACATTTTTGCACATTTTGTTGTGTTTGTACAGTACCTACGAAATTTCTGAAGGGATTCTTGGGAGTTTCCGGTTTATAGATTGACAAATCAATTGGCGTTAAAAAGAATTTAGGAATAAATCTAAATAATATCCACGTTACCATGCCGACTTGTATGAAA